AAAATGCAGACTGAGGGTAAAATGCAGATTGCAGACTGCAGACCAGGGGTAAAATGCAGACTGAAGGCAAAATAAAGTATTAATAATAAAAAACACGAGGGTCAAATCCGGATCAAATGAAGACTTCGGAGTGTTCTTACGCGTGCCTGTAATTTTTTTCCAAAATCCCGAAAACTCAAACCAAAAGGCGTTTCCTAGCCTTAGTCAAACATTATCTTATCAACTTCGAGTTCTTGAACTCCCCATTTTGTTGAACCAAGTTTCCCACAAGGGCCCGAACTAATCGTAATTCTACGCATCTTACCTTTGTTTTCGAGTCGGTTATTTGTTTACGCGATTAGGTCTGGGACCGACCAACTCTTCCAGCGCATTACCTTCATCCTGTTTTCATCGACAAAGTATTAATAACGTTCAAACCACTGCGTATCTTAGCTGCTTCAAATGGCTTTGGAATTGTTCGGAACACAAGGCAAGCTAAACACGACAGCACAACAACAGGGCAAGCTAAACTTGTAGGTATCGAGCATAGTTTGTGAAAGACATTCAATCTTTGTACTCGACATTTTACGGGTACGAACACTCTTTATTTTATCCTTATGACTCGTTTTTATTATTAATATTTTATTTTACCCTTATTCTGCATTTTACCCCTAGTCTGCAGTCTGCAGTCTGCATTTTACCCTCAGTCTGCATTTTAGCCTCGGTCTGCAGTCTGCGTTTTACACTGACCGGTTTTCAAATTCCTTCAGCATACGTAGTGTGAACGCCGCCTGAATCGCACGTACCTGCTGTGTACCACAAAAACGTGCTGCTTGAATACAAAACTAGTGAGACAATCTCGGATAGTGCAGAGTGTATTTACGGCTCTGATACAGAAGTTACATAGGTCCTCACCCATGCCGTTCTCTATGAGCGGAATATGAGCGGACAAAAAAACTTGATAAGCCATAATCTTTGCAGTGTGTATGTTTCATGTTTATGTTTTCTTTCAAGGTCAAAAAATAAGTTACAATAACCGTTTGTCGAGACGGTTTTAAAAGTCATTGCAGCAAATGTGACAATGTACTTTTCACGGCAACGTTTGTAACTTGATACTTTTGTTTTCCTCGCCAATGTGTGCAACAAGATACCTTTGTTTCCACGAAAATATAAGAAAGATTTATATTTTTTACTCACTGCTGGAGATGAATGGAAAATAAAAGTGAAATATCTGCTGAAAAGTCGCAGAGGAACGATTTTGTTTTATTCAAAGCGCAAAGTTTCATTTCACCAATAAACAAGAACTAATCTAATTATCAAATAGGGGAACTGACGTTACCTGAAATATAGCTATTATCCCCGGCCAAAACGAGAGTGTGGTATAACTCAAAAAATAAAAAAAAGCGGGATCTGAACTCGAGAACGGAGTTTATCACGCTAGCAAAGTTAGAACGTATGCGTCTAACATGTCATGTTAATTCTACCACAAGGAAAAGCACTCAACGTTCGTAACATATCACTCTCGTCCCCAGTGGCCGCGCTCCATTTGGTCAGCAACAAGAATCGCGACCACTGGGATCAACCTCTGGGAAGGTCCAACACCGGAAGTCTGCGATTCACGGACTTCCTGTCACTCTGCGCATGCTCAGAGTCAAATCTGACAAATCTGATTGGCTGAGAAAGCGAAACGATTACTCTGCGCATGCTCCAAAAATTGGACCTTAACAGAGGTCGCAATTCTTGGAGCTGGCCAAAAGAAGCGCGGCCTCTGGGGACGAGAATGCTAAGATATAGTCGACTTTGACGATAACTAATCGGCGCATGCGTTTGGAGCAAATTTCTTTTGTTCTTAAGAGAATAGCACCACAAGGGTAGCATGAGATTTGCAAAACCACATATATTTTTGTCAAGTTATCACTGAAAGAAACGTAAGTACGACACATTTTGCGTAATGCACACGAGTACCTATAGTTACCCCACCCAGCTCCCTTACCGCAAGGCTAATTGATTAATTGAAATTAATTAATAAAACAAACATTACAGTTTACACCTTATTGTGTTGGTGCTTAGTGCCTTACGGAACAGCAGCCCCCTAAACCATCCCAATAGTGCACTCTGCACTAAAAAGCACGCCCGTCTCATGGTGAGCTAAAAGGGAGCTTAAGAAACCACGACGGCGATGCCGAGAACAACGTCGATTAAAAATTGATTTTATATTTTTCCTACGAATCTCGCGGTACCCTAAAGTCATCTACTTTGTTTATCACTGTCAAAGCTATCACGAAACTGAATGAATTCGAAATAAAAATTTAAAAGAATTAGCCGTCGTGGTTCAGGGAGCTTAAGAAAACCACGACGGCAACGGCAACGGCAACGTCACTAAACAAAAAGTTTAATGAGCAAAACAATGGCTGTGCACGTGCGTTATAATTCTTGGTACATTTCTTTGCCGTCCTTCGCAAAACAAGGAACGTGAAATGACCAAGTTCTGCGTTGTCTGGAGAACATAATATTAGACACGACACGAAACTCTTTCTCCTTCATATTTGCTCATCATGGTGATTAACATTTCGGCCAGCGCGCCAGAGAAGCGTTCTATCAGTCTAGATGTTACTATATATTACTATATTTTTAAAAACGTAGGCCAGATTTGAGAGAGCTGTGGAGATCAAGAGCAATGGAGGGGTAGAGAATGAAAACAATTAGAAAAAGTTCAAAATTTTCCGGAGTGTAAGTCTAGTGAAACTATTAGAAAAATATCTGTAACTGCAATCACTTTTTTTTTTAAATTGATGAGCTTTCACATGTTTTATGTTTTCTTACATAATAAATATTGATTGTATAATACTGTATTGTATTGTATACAGTCGAACCTCTCCACAGCGGTCACCTTGGAGACAGGGGAAAAGTGGCCGTTGCAGGGAGGTGGCCGTTATGGGGAGATAGGGGTGTAATATCGCACCTGTTTTTTTTAAATATTGTTCATTGTAACATATCAGAAGATGTGATAAGTTTCTGAACATATAAATACGTAACACAATGAGAACATATATCAATTGAATAAAATAGAAAACAAACAGAAACAGAGACAAACGACACGCAGAACGAATCAAGTTACGTGAACTTTTACAATAAAAAATGAGGATTTTATACACCATTCTTTAGTCGCTAATAAACTGGCTTTTGTCTAGACGTTATTGTGGCGGTTGCGACGCGCCTTAGTGGCCGTTGGCTTTGTGGAGAGGAAGCCGTTTTAGAGGCTTCCTCTTTAAATATTGTAATTTATTGTGGTGGCCGTTAGTGGAGGTTTGACTGCACAATTGTTTATTGCAATCAAAATACTTTAAAAAACAGAAACCAAACATAGACAGAGACCAAGGTGTGGCTCACATTATTATCGCTGTTATTGAGATAGGACCGTTGCAGAGGTTCAATAAGCACTCAATGACTGACCCCAAGGGAAACAGTGAGTTTTGTTTCTCCGAGACCCTCAGTGTTCTCCAAGGCGAAGCCGAGGGGAACGTTGAGGTCGAGGGGAAACAAAACTCACCGTTTCCCGCGGGACCAGTCATTAAGTGTTTTGTTATACCTCCCAACTCAAAAATAGAGACAAACTGCGAAGAAATCGTTTGCTTGACCCGGCTGGCTCACAAATTTGCCGCGGTTTCAAAGAGCAAGACCTGATCACGTGCGAGTCGAAAGTTCAAGTTGTTTCCCTAGGGAGTTAGTGAGCTTTGACCCACGACACGTGACTCGTTCTCCTCCATATCGAAAAACGTTTTGTTGATGTTGTTTTGTTAATGTTGAGGCAAACTTCGGAGAAATAAGCTTTTACTCCAACACTCTCTTCAATTTATTACTTGTCCTTTATTTTCACTGATCTTTTCAGTTACAGCAGTCAGCAACTCTTGACAACTATTGATCTTGACTGATTTTATCAACTAAAAGAAGTTCACTTCTCGCGTTCCTTTTAAAGGAACAACCACATGAAACATCAATCAACTGTCAATATGTCATTTTCTTAATTTTAGGCTAACCTAATATAGCATCCGCAGATCGCACGGAGTACTACCGCGAAAGCGCGCAAAGCTACTTAGCAAATATTCCTACAGGTAGTTGAGCAAAATAAGGTAACGTAAGTAATATTCAAGTGACAATCTTTGTTTTTATAGATTTAAACCTAAGAGACTATACTAAGTTTAAAAGTAAAAGTTGTTGTTAAATATTTCTTACAGCATAAGTGTTACAAGAATAAGATTGCACCATTCCACCTCTGTGGGTTGACCTTTGTTAAATTCTGGACCTGCTTAGTTCAGTCCATTTTATTAATTGTACATGATCTGAAGTATAAACATATTCAAGGAGTTACCATTTTGTTGCTTGTGGTGTGGACACAATTTCTTTTTGTCTTTGTGCAAGGTGTAAGAAAGATACTAATTTGACTCTAATTTCAACCAAACAACCGAATTTCAATGGCCAAAAAGGTCTACAAAATGAATAAGGTTTTGCTAGCAAATGTGGAAACAAATTTCTGATAAGTTATGGAATCTAGAATCACTATTTCCAGGAAGAGTGTTTTCAAAAACTGAACCTCACTAAAATTTTATTATCTCGATTGGTACCCGAAGAAACTGGTCAGAAAAAGGTAACGCGGTAAATACAGCTGGAAAATTCCGGAAAAATAATGGTGCTCAATGGAATAGGAATGAACTAAAGTTTTCCTTCTAAAGTATTAGCTGCATAATAACATAATATGAGGAGAAGGTATAATTTGATCTATACCGAAACAGAAAATCAAGTAACCTTAATTAAATACCCTGAAATATCCCACGATTATATTATCCTGCACCAAAAACAAGTTTTCCCTTAATAATTCAATAAATACCAGTGGCGGATCCAGACTTTCAGCTAAGGGGAGGGCCCGGTTTAGTTTTACTTGCCCTGCCGGCTTTTCTTCCTTCAGTCATTTCTTCTTTTTTCAACCAAAATAAGGGGGGGGGGGGGGNGGGGAGGGGGCGGGGACCGGGCCCCCCGGGCCCCTCCCCTAGATCCGCCAAATGAATACTAGAAAGAGATATCCAATACATTCTTGCTTGCATTTTATTCTTTAACAAAGAGTAAATGTATGGACCGTCCGCAGGGACAAAAAAAGTGGCCGTTGCAGAGAGGTGACTGTTAGTCGAGGTTCGACGGCAGTTCTATCTGGATATCAATATATAACACGCTAGCAACTAAAACGCTGACTTTATTGACAAAACACTCAACGATCTACTGAAACTAACTACATAAATGAACAGCTAACACCTGTTACCACAGTGACAACACCGTACTTCTGATATCATCGCACAACCCCTGCAACATCCGACTGAGTAGCCGACAAAACTACAACTACCTTACGACATTTTACTGTCCAACTTCAAATTAAGGATAGAGACGAACTCAACAGTTTTTAACACAACACATATGCCCAAAGAAAAAAACAGCCACAACAAACAGAACCCCTGCGAAGATGACCCAAACTAAGTACTTCGTTACAAACTCATTGTCGCTGAAAAAAAGAAAATAACAGAATAAATAATAAGGAGAACAATCCTTGTTAAATGCCTAGTTTGACAGTATTAACGAGCTGACCATACCGTGATCATTTTACCAAAGCCGATCCTAGAAGATCATCCGAATTTTTTTTCTCAAATTATACATCTTTCTCGCCCAAGTTCTGAATTTTAAAAGAAAGCTACTCAATAATTCAGTTTTTGATTATTATCACAGGCTAAGAGGAAGTAGCGGCGACCATACTGTTTTGTGTGTTGCGTTGTGTTTCAGATATTTCTGTCCTTATTTAAAATCCGTTGAAGTAAGTTTGACATAGTAGAAACGAGATATTTGAGCTGCATCTTACCTGCAGTATGTCTTGCCGGAATTGCTACTTTGTGCGCAGAAACGATCATTCTTTCCATCGCTTGGGCCTGGGCAATAATTTCGAATATTACCACCGCATGAAGAACCTCCTGGAAAACAGCAAGTAGGTTTACTGTCCCAAATACAACAGTGAGTTTGATCATTCCTCACGTCAGAACCCGGGCAATAACTTCGGATATCAGCATTGTCATTACACGTAGAACCTCCAGGATGACAACAAGTAGGCTTGCTGTCCCATACACAACAATGCGTTCGATCATCCCCCTCGTTAGGACCCGGGCAATAATTTCGGATATCAACACTGTCGCTGCATGAAGAACCTCCCTGCGGGCAACAGGCAGGCTTGCTATTCCACATACAACAGTGTGTCCTTTCAGGAGGGTCGGACAGCCCAGGACATGTGTATGAATCGTTGTAAGGTCCTAGACATCGTGTTATATTTAGACCACGCACTGCGGATCAAGAAGAGGAAAAATTGAAGGTAATGGAAGTAGGGGAATAAGTCGAGCCTTTCTGTATGGAGTAAATAGCGTAAGTCGCACTCGGTCAACTAGTCAACACTGAAGGATTTTATCCTAGTTTTTCATAGCACGAAGCCGTACTAGGAGCATTGCCATTCCCCCCTGGATGGAATGCTGACCCAACACTGCCCATCACCTCCAGCAGTTTTGTTAAGTTTCCTGAACTGGTAGCCATTGCTCATGTATAATACCTGGGTTGAGAGATGGAAGAACTGTGAGGGTTAAAGCACACCGAGGAAAGAAACACAATGACATGAGCCAGAAGAGGACTCTGCCGGGGTTGCCGAGCTCCGCAAAACCGCAAAAATCCGGCACATATTGCGATGTGGGCTAACGAGACTTTAATTGGGTGTTGAAACATCATTAGAGCTATTGGCAATTTACTAAACTACCTGAAACCCGAAGAGGATCGTAAAAGGACCGAAATGCATCCCTCAGGTTTAAAGTGTGCCCTGACACTCCGATTCAAAATTGAAATTGCTAGAACATCGAATGAAAATTGTCCAATTCCAGCCCCAAACCATAACATCTCTGGTCTGCTCGATCTAGAGTCCACGAGCTTTAAACATTAGGTTACGGCGAAGTCGGTTGAAAGTCTTGAACGTATAAACTGAGTTGGGCAACAAAAAACAACAGGGACTGAGCTAGACTGAGCGCTGGATGTTTTTTCTTATTTCACGGAACGTGTATTCATTCCTACGTTTATTTTGCACCGAGAAGGTCTGAGAAGAGCAGGCTAACAGAGCATGATAGCAATAATTTGCAAGAATGTCCAAGAGCTAAGAAGTAGAGAAAATTATAACTTCATTGTAACTAGGGTCGATACAAATATTACGGAACTATCAATTGTCTTAGAATCAAATGCCAACATCCAAATACAGTTGAATCTCTACGAGGAATACAGACATAGAGGTGTCCACATCAGACACATAGAGATTATATAATATGACAGATTAGGCGAACTACCTGTCAGTGTCATTAGAGGTACTCTAGTTTTTTGGCTCGTTAAGGAGACGATCAAGAAATAAACTGATTGAGGCTTACCAGTGGCAACGAAAATCAGGAAAACAAATATGTCGTCCAAACGACGATGCACCATCATTGCATGAGTTGATGAATTGAGCTTGAAGTGATGGAAGACGCATATTTATTGTCACAGCCAGTAATATTACAGAGAAGAAGCGGAATTTTCATGATGATTATATTATGCATCGTCATGATTTCTTTTGTAATCGAGGCATCAAACCATGTTATTAGTTGTAAGTGCTCCATCACATCGCTACCGCAAGACGACTGTCAAGTGATAAACTCATAAAGTAGAAACAATCAAGTGCATATGTGATCACTCCGACTGTCGAATGAAACTTTTATCCGGGTTTGAATCGCAATTTATATTTGCCTCAGCGCAGCATCCAAACAGTCAATCCATTGGATTAAAGATGAGTCTAAATAAAGTAAAGGTTTTTAAGTTCAACAACAACCACTCGACATCGTTGGTCTTTTCATTGTATATGAAGTATTGCCAGGGTAATGTTATCTTAGTTTTATTTTCTAGTCATATAGGGGCAGTCAGTTTTTGCTTATAAATGACTGCGAGTGAGTCGTTGCCTTTTGCTCGAGTCCAGGAGCGCCCTTAAAAGAGCGTTATTCCTTTTGTTCACGTTTATTCGCATATTCCACGTATTTTTAACTACTGCTAAACTACTTTTTAGCCATGATTAAGAATTGGTTGCATACTACACAGCTTAAAATCGTGATTAAAGCTGGAGTCCATTTGTTTAGCCTACATTGAGCTGGTATGGAATGGTTTGGAGCAACTGAGTAGATTAACGTCGTTAACAACTTATTTTATGCTATGGTCAATTTGAAGACAGGGAAATGAACTTGTGCACGGACTTGGTGTCACGGACCACTGGGTACCTGACGCACAGTCCGCAACCAAGGAACTAACTTCGAGAGCGATCAAGATACTTGCGTGAAATCACGCACAACTTCATCAAGCTAGTTACATCCTCGTTTCCAGTGTTTCTTTCTTCTTCCTGTTCAAAGGAAAATGGGAAACTTGGGAACGAAATTGACAAAACACGTACACAGTTTTTGGTCATGATCAAACCAAGGGGCTGACACTCTTTTCTTAATGGCACGTCTATGAAATTGTCGAACGTCTGATGTGA